CCAGTAGAATCTTCCTGCTTTTTACCATGTGGCAGCCATCTATAAAAAAAAAACTCTGACCAAGAAGAAAATGGCCGAAAACAAACATGAAAACTGCTGTAGAAGCATGAAAAAATCGATTATTTCCACTATCGATGGGAGTTGAAAAAATGCAAAGTCGGTCTTGGCCTTCGAATGCTAACGTGGAGCATGTACATGTAAATTTTTGTGCAAACAGCCGAAAATTGGTGACCATGCATTCAACATTACACACACACACACATCCTATGCAGAGATTTTATATAATAAATACATAAATATATATGCAGATATATATATATATATATATATATATATATATATATATATATATATATATATATACATACATATATATATATATATATATATATATATATATATATATATATATATATATATATATATATATATATATATATATATATATATATATATATATATATATATATACATATATATATATATATATATATATATATATATATATATATATATATATATATATATATATATATATATATATATATATATATATATATATATATATATATATAAGAGGTGGAAATATATAAATATAAATACGAAGGAAATATATATATGTATAATTATTTATATATATATATATACGAAGTTTAATAAAAAAAAAATATCAGAGATAGATAACATATTTGGTTGGATAGAATGAGAGGATGGTTTCACCTTTTTTTTTAGAGATCGTCAGACAAAGTAAATTATTGTTTTAGAAAAAATTCCAAAGAATTTAGATTGGGAGGTATTAATGTGTTATTGAGGAAGTTTTTGGGGAGATGGACCGACGTTTTGAAACAGACCTGTACTAACGCAAAACATCGATGTATGCAGAATACTACATATACATATATATACTTGGTCGTCCGTCGGGACTCATACATATATATAAACATATGTAGACAGTTTCTACGGCTATGACATATGTATGTATACTTGGGTGGTGTTATGTCTATAAAATACGTAAATTTGTATGTTGATAAATGTTGAAATTTGAAACATTGAGTTAAGTGAAAGAACGGAAATGTCTCGTTATTGTCTAGGTATATTATGAAATTTTTTTTTTTTTTTTTTTTTCCTTCCGTCCAAAAAAAATTTGAAAATAGAAAGAAGATAACGTCGAAGATATTATGTATATGTTTGGGGGTTGTGTAAAATTATGATAGGAAAAAAAATTATTATTAAATTATTTATATTTATTTTAAATTTGGAAAAAAATGGGGTTTATTTGTTATATTTAAAGCTGGTTATTTGTTTGTTTTGGTGACTGTGTATATGTAACAGGTAAAAAAATTGTAATCCTTATTGTTTAATTTATATGGTGATGTTTAATTTAATAACGGATATGATGTGATAGTAATGATTTTCAAAGGATTGGAGACAATGCTATTTAGGTTTTTTTAGTTATTGTAAACTGGAAGAAATTGCAGATTGGTAGAAATGATTAGTAACGGTGGTGGGAGAATGATAAAACCATGAATGTAGTTATAGTGGTGGTAGCTTGAACAAAAAAGTGGTTGTTGGTGTTTTATACATATTGTTTTATTTTGTTATATGTATTAATTTATTTAGGTATAAATCCTGGTATTCTATGTAAAATTAAATATAAGTTGAAGATATATATATAATTTTTAATTACAAAATTATTATTATTATATTAAAGCTTCCTGGTAATAGGTGTTTTTTCTCATGGTTACATATGGAAATTATATTTGATCATATTGTTTTAAAGTATTAAATACTGGGGGGTAATAAAGATTGTAGTGGATTATATGTTAATAGTGGGTGATGATGTACAGTGATGGTGGCTGTGTGTAGGTGGTAATGATAATATTGATAGTTAATAGATATTGTAAGGTGGTAAAAGTGATTACTAATGGTGGTATAATTATAATAATGATAGGTGCAATTATTTTTGATGGTATCTTGAAATTAAATTGTGATTGTTGGTGGTTTGTCTGTTTTATCCGTTTGGTAAAGAATTCGGATAATAGATACTTGTTCTCATGCCACATTTGGAGATTATCTCTGATTTTTTTTGTTTAAAGTTCTTTTGCGGTTTGTGTGATATTATTGCTACTTTTTTCGTGTAGGCAAAGTAGGCATTTTTAGATAAATGTTGTTGTAGGCAGGGGTTTTTCAATATTTCCCAACCTATTGTTGGTGTGATGTTTTGTCTTTTTGCTGCCATATGTATGTAGAAAGTGTTGTGCTGTTCGAATATTTCCTGTTGTTGAATGAAAGGTTGTGATTGTTATTCCTCATCTTGAATGGATATTCGGTATACCGATGTAGTGCATAGTGTTGTTGTTTGTACTTACCTTGGCATGGTATATTGTGTTCGTAATTACAAAATATAATTTCCCTGGAGGGACATGTTGCTCTGTTTCTGCAGTTGCATATAGGGTCCTTGGTTACATTTTTTGTAGGTTGTGTTTTTTTTTTTTGTTGTGGTTTTTTGATTATATCTGTTATGTTTTTTTTGTACAGCTGTAACTGATCTTTACGTTATTTTTGTTAAATATTTTTGATAATTTGTTTTCTTCAGTGAAGTGTTTTTCTATTAAGTTTAGGAATATTTTGCCTATGTTCGTTTTCATATACGCTGACGTGCCTTAACCGTCTCGGCCATATATGACGTATATGACGGTTCCGTATAGGATGCAGGTTCGAATCCTGTCAAAGAACGAATATTTTCTATGAAAATTTCTCGGACATTCAGGCCGGTAAATGTTATTTAATACTGTTTATCATAAACAGAGCATTTGCTTAAATACTTGTATCTATAAAATAACAACGTTAAACATAATAAAATGTCTTTAATAAATAAATTGTCGGACCTTGTCCATTTCTTAACACACTTATATATATATATATATAAGTTACGAAGAACTTGGTAAACCGAATGAGTAATTCCAAGGAGGATGAAATCCTGAGAGCTCAATATATATATATGTTTAAATTTCAACATTTCAACATACAAATGCGTATGTATAGACATAACACCACCCGTATACATACATGTGTCATAGCTGAAACTGTCTACATATATTTATATATATGTATGAGTCCCGACGGACGACCAAGTATGTATATGTGTCTGCATACATCGATGTTTGCGTTAGTACGATGAATGACAAAACGACGAAATTTCCCCCCACCACTTCCACAATAACACCAATAGACGCAATCTACATAAACCCAAATTTTTAAAACATTAATCAGTTTGTCTGACGATCGCTAAAAGCGTGAAACCCAGGGTCACAAACTCACATCTATCCAACCAAATATATATATATATATATATATATATATATATATATATATATATATATATAAACTTTAGTGAAACAGACTCTGCTTAATGTTTATATTTTCCTATATAAATTGTTTTACGTGAGGAAAAATCTTTATAAATTGACCCAATTTAATATTTCTCATTTTGTTCTTGGTCGAGTACCTTATACAGTTTAAGTCATTGTCAGGATTTATTTGTTTTCAGTATCGTCGACAATGTGAACTCGGTCAATAATGTTTCACCATCGCTTTAATAATAGTGTACAAGTGGGTGCTTTAGGTCAGTTTTTAATTATTACTAATGCGTTTTAATAGTAAAATCATTTTAGTACATGTTGGTATTAAAATCACAAACAATAAATTTCTTAGTAAAAATCAATTCAAATGTAATTTTGATATTAGATACCCCTCTATTTTATTGTTAATTTATTTCCAATTCATTTTATAGTAAATGCATTTCCACTTATAATATAATTGTTACCAATTCATCTGCATAGTAAAATCAATTCTGAAACATTTTATGGTAAAATGATTTCCAAAGCATTTATATTAAAACGATTTCCAATGCATTTTCATAGTAAAATGATTTCCAATGCATTTTCATAGTAAAATGATTTCCAATGCATTTTCATAGTAAAATGATTTCCAATGCCTTATCATAGTAAAATGATTTCCAATGCATTTTCATAGTAAAATGATTTCCAATGCATTTTCATAGTAAAATGTTTTTCCATATATTTTCATCGTAAAATGATTTTCCATATATTTTCATAGTAAAATGATTTCCAATGCATTTTCATAGTAAAATGATTTCCAATGCATTTTCATAGCAAAATGATTTCCAATGCATTTTCATAGCAAAATGATTTTCAATGCATTTTCATAGTAAAATGATTTTCAATGCATTTTCATAGTAAAATGATTTCCAATGCATTTTCAAAGTAAAATGGTATTTCATCATAAAATCACTTCCAATGGATTTTCATTGTAAAATTGCGCTCAATGCATTTTCATTGTAAAATCAATTCCAATGAATTTTCATTGTAAGATGGCTTCAGATGCATTTTCATTGTAAAATCAATATCTGGCGCCTCTTTGTGGATTAATCAGTGAGACTAGTGTTGATGCCGATTACGACTGAATAGAGAGTTAGATCCTCACTGGGTGTCAAATACAAAATTCGAAATTAAAATAACCCAACCAGGATTGAGATTTTGTAAAATCAACTAACCCTAACCAATAGTAAATTGAATGTCTTGAATTCACTATCACTTTACATCAGGGCCACACAACCGGTTCTTGAGTTATTTTAATATCCGGATAGACCTCGTACACATAGAACGAACGCCCAAATATGTTTGAAATACTTTTTTTGTCGCTGTTTCCATCTTATTCCGATCAAAGATGACAAATCTCCATTGAAGTTTGTTTTTCCATGTGTTTGTGTGTGTTTTTTATATAGTATTGATGATGATGATGGGTGGGAGAGGTCGAAAGACACATGACCCTAGTCAAAAATACGGAAAAAACCAGACAAAGCCGAATGAAGCACACATCTAAAGGCTGGCAATATAAACAGACACAATCTTATAAAATCTCTTTGACAGAGAGGGTGTGTAGCATTGCAAATATAGCAGGAAAGGGGAGACGAAACATCAAAGAGATGGAAGATAGGGAAGGTCGGTTCGAGGAATGGGGTGGTTGGACAAGAATGGCGATATGTCAGAAAGAAAGAAATTATATGGAACTCGAAAGAAAGAAAGAAAGAAACGAAAGAATTTAAAAGAAACGAAACGAAACGAAAGAAAAAACAGAAAGAAAGGCGAATGATATGGGAAATAAATGCTAAAAAAGACGATGCTGAAGTGAGGAAGACTATAGGAATCGAAAAGAATGGAACAAAGAAAGAAAGAGAAAAGTAAAGAAATGATATGGAAATTGTAAAAAAGATCTAGAAAGAAAGAATGAAGCTAAATGGTGCGAGGAATAAATACGATGATAACGAATGCCGAAGGAGAGAAGACAACGAGAAATAAAATGAAAGGGATATAGAAAGAAAGACAGGAATAAAAGAGGAAGAAAAAAGAAAGAATGAAAAAGAAAGAAAGATAAAAAGAAAGAAAGAAAGAAAGAAAAAAATGATAATTGGAAAAATGAAAAGAAAGAAAAAAGAAAAGAAAGAAAAAAACAAAGAAAAAAGAGTAAAAAGAAAGAGAGTAAGAAAGAAAGAAGGGAAGAAATGAAAATCGGAAAAATGAAAAGAAAGAAAGAAAAGAAAAAAGAAAGAAAGAATGAAAAAGTAAAAGAGAAATAAATAGAGTAAGAAAGAAATGAACAAAATGATAATCGGAAAATGGAAAGAAAGAAAGAAAAAAGAAAGAAAAGAAAAAAGAAAGAAAGAATGAAAAGAAAGAGAGAAAGAAAGAGAGTAGGAAAGAAAGAAATGATAATCGGAAAAATGAAAATAAAGAAAGAAAAGAAAGAAAAGTAAAAAGAAAGAAAGAATGAGAAGAAAGATAGAAAGAAAGAGAGTAGGAAAGAAAGAAATTATAATCGGAAAAATGAAAATAAAGAAAGAAAGAAAAGAAAGAAAAGAAAAAAGAAAGAAAGAATGAAAAAGAAAAAGAGAAAGAAATAGAGTAAGAAAGAAAGAAATGATAATCGAAAATGAAAAGAAAGAAAGAAAAAAGAAAGAAAGAATGAAAAGAAAGAGAGAAAGAAAGAGAGTAGGAAAGAAAGAAAGAAATGATAATCGGAAAAAAAAAAGAAAGAAAGAAAAGAAAGAAAAGGAAAAAGAAAGAAAAGGAAAAAGAAAGAAAAGGAAAAAGAAAGAAAGAAATCGAGTAAGAAAGAAATGATAATCGGAAAAAATGAAAAGAAAGAAAGAAAGAAAGAAATAAGGTGAATGCTGCGTGAAATCAAAACGAAGATAACGATTCCGAAAGTGACAAGAGAACGAGAAAGAAAAAGAAAGAAAGACTAGTGTAATATGAGTAAAAAATGAAATCAAAGAAACAAACGAGATTATAAAACTGGGCAAATAAGGCGAGAAAGAAAAAAAAGAATAAAAAAAAAAACGGGCAAATATCTAAGATATTACTCGAGATGAATGAATGTAGAATACAGAAAAAAGAGAAAATATATTAAGGAAATATAAAAGGTTTATGCAAAACTAAAAAAATGTCGGCCAAAGAATAAAATACAACTTAAAAATAAACTTACATAGAACGAAAGTGGGAAACAAGGAATGCTCGAGTTGTTTGTAGAACAGGAAGAAGACGGATATAATGGGAGGTAAATCAGTAAGTGAAATTCAAAAGGGAAGTAATGGGAGTACTGACTGTAAAACGAGGCGACAGGTGAGAACGTAAGAGGAGGCAGATAAAGAAAAAAAGAGAACGAAAAAAAGATGTAAATTTACGGGGAGTTTTCGCCTGCTTGTTAAAGTGAGAGTTACATATTCCCCACCGGATACAAAGGTCGGCGGTTGAACCACCATAAGGGTTAAGACGTTTTAGAAAGTAGGCTCTCCTGGAGCTACGCAATATTTCTGATTTATATTTTTTTATTCTCAGTCAGTATTAAGCATGCTTTATTAAATGTGTGCATTTGTGTATGTGGGGTGAAAATAAAAGAATAAAATAGAAAAATGAAAAAAGATGAACGAAAAAGCTTGAAATATGAAACTAATAAGGAACGGAAGGTGAAGGAAAGAGAAAAGATATAACAAATACGAGAGAAAGGATAGAGCGAAATGGGGAGAAAAAAAAGAAAGGAAAAGAGAGAAAGAAAAGAAAGGAAAGTATAGAACGAAAAAGAGAGAAAGGATAGAACAAAAAGAAGAGAAACGATAGGACGAAATGGGGAGAAAGGATAGAACGAAATAGGGAGAAAGATAAGAAAGGAAAGGAGAGAAAGTATAGAACGAAAAGGAGAGAAAGGACAGAGCGAAAAGGAGAGAAAGGAGAGAACAAAAAGGAGAGAAAGGATAGAACGAAAAGGAGAGAAAGAAAAAAAAGGAAAGGAGAGAAAGAAAAAAAAGGAAAGGAGAGAAAGAAAAGAAAGGAAAGGAGAGAAAGGATAGAACCAAAAGATGAGAAAGGATAGAACGAAAAGGAGAGAAAGGATAGAACGAAATGGGGGGAAAGAAAAGAAAGGAATGGAGAGAAAGAAAAGAAAGGAATGGAGAGAAAGGATAGAACGAAATGGTGAGAAAGGATAGAACGAAAAGGTGAGAAAGGATAGAACGAAAAGGTGAGAAAGGATAGGACGAAAAGGTGAGAAAGAAAAGAATGGAAAGGAGAGAAAGGATAGAACGAAATGGTGAGAAAGAAAAGAATGGAAATGAGAGAAAGGATAGAACGAAATGGTGAGAAAGAAAAGAAAGGAAATGAGAGAAAGGATAGAGCGAAAAGGTGAGAAAGAAAAGAAAGGAAATGAGAGAAAGGATAGAGCGAAAAGGTGAGAAAGGATAGAACGAAAAGGTGAGAAAGGATAGGACGAAATGGTGAGAAAGAAAAGAAAGGAAAAGAGAGAAAGGATAGAACGAAAAGGTGAGAAAGAATAGAAAAGAAAGGAGAGAAAGGATAGAACCAAAAGGAGAGAAAAGATAGAACGAAATGGTGAAAAAGAAAAGAAAGGAAAGGAGAGAAAGGATAGAACAAGGAAGCGTGAAAGGAGAGAATGAAAAGGAGAGAAAGGATAAACCGTAAAGGAGAGAAAGGATTGAACAAAAAAGAGAAAGCAAAAATGTTATAAAGGACAGAACAAATACGGATGAAATGGCAGAAAAAGTGGAAGGAAAGGAAGAAAACCGGAAGAAAATATAGAAAAAATGATAAAAACAAAACAATATAGAAAGTGGAAATGATAGAGAAGAGCAAAGACAAAAATGATTTAAAAAAGAGATGCGAGATATGGACAGAAGGAAGAAAGGAAAGTCCTCAGATAGAAAAAAATAGAAATAATTACTTGTCAAAATAAAGGAAGAGTGAGAGAGAGAAAGTAAAAGTAGTAATCAAAATAAAGGAAAGTAAAAAAAAAGGAATTACTTATTAAAAGAATAAAAGAAAAAAAGGATTACTTACTCAAAGAAAGAATGTAAGCGAAAAAATACAGAAATGTATTATAGAAAAATAAAGAATGCCTTATTAAATAAAAGAAAGAAATACTTATGAAAGACAGAAAAAAAGAAAGAAAGACAGAAAAAAAGAAAGAAAGAAAGAAAGAAAGGTATAAAAAAGAAAGAATGACTTATTAAAAGACGGAAAGAAAGAAAGAAAGGGTAGAAAGAAAGAAAGAAAGAAAGAATGACTTATTAAAAGACGGAAAGAAAGAAAAGGTAACCAGAAAGAAAGAAAGAAAGAAAGAAAGAAAGAAAGAAAAAAAAGAAAGAATGACTTATTAAAAGACGGAAAGAAAGAAAAGGTAACCAGAAAGAAAGAAAGTAAGAAAAGAAAGAAAGAAAGAAAGAAAGAATGAAAAAGAAAGAAAGAAAGAAAAAAGAAAGAAAAGGTATAAAAAGAAAGAATGACTTATTAAAAGAAAGAAAAAAAAAGTAAAGAAAAAAGAAAGAAAGAAAGAAAGAAAGAAAAGAAAGAATGACTTATTAAAAAGACGGAAAGAAAGAAAAAACAAAGTAAGAAAAGAAAGAAAGACTTAAGAAAAAAAGAAAGAAAGAAAGAGAGTTAAGAAACAAAGAAAGAAAGTCTTAAGAAAGAAAGAAAGAAAAAGACTAAAGAAAGAAATAAAGAAAGAAAGAAAGAGAAAATACTTAAGAAATAAACAATTAAGAAAGAAAGAAAGAAAGAAAGAAAGAAAGAAAGAATTAAGAAAGAATGAAAGACTTAAGTAAGAAAGAATGAAAGACTTAAGTAAGAAAGAAAGAAAAAAGAAAGAAAAAATGATATGAGAAATAGAGAAAGAAAAGAAAGAATGACTTATTAAAGAGAAAATGAAAGGACTTATTACAGAGAGAAAGAAAAGAAAGAATAACTTCTTATAGAGAGAAAAAAAGGTGGGGAAAAAAAGAAAAATGACATTAAAAGACAGAAAGAAAGGTATAAAAAGGAAGGAATGCCTCATTGAAATAAAGAAATATAGAATAAAAGTTAGGATGAGTTGTTAAAAAGAAAGAAATACTTAAAATAAGAAAGAATAATTAAACTTATTAAAATAAAAAAAATAAAGTATTACGTATTGAAATAGAGAAACTAGAAAAGAATGGAAAAATTACTCCTTAAAAGAGAGAAATATAGAAAAAAAATGGAAGCATTACTTAGTAAAAGAAAGAAAACCAGTGACAAAAAAGACAGGATTCCTTATTAAAATAAGGAAAAGAAAAAACGATTTGTTAAAAGGAAAGGAAGAAAAAAAGAAAGAGAAAAAAATAATTACGTATTAAAAAAAGAAAGTTACAAAATGGATTTTTATTAAAAGAAAAAATAGGAGACACGGACAAGTTTTCTGCAAGCAAAGGAAGAATTAAAATTAAGGAAAAAATAAAGTAAAAAAACGAAAGAACTAAAAAGGATTTAATTTACGAAAACAAAGAATGCCCGAGAAAGAAAGAGAAAATAATAAGAAAAAGAAAGGAAAAATATGGTTATGACAAAAAAGAAAACGGTGAAGGAATGCAAAAGTCAATAAATAACAAAAGTTAAAACCTCAAAGCGCAAAAAAAAAAAAAGAAAAAAGTATAGAGAAAATATTACAAAATATAAAGATATTAACTCGAGTTAAATGAATAAGCGGACAAAAGCCAATAAAAAAGAACGAATGAAAGCAAATATTACCAAGCAAAATCAATATCAAAGATGAATCAACGGCAAAATAGAGAAGGAAGTCAAAAATAAAAGCAATAATTGTCTCAGATCAAACCTTCGAGGTCAAAGGCGGGTGTTCGGATGACGGTTACAGATTCAAAGGCTCTAAAAGGGCTTCAATGGCAAGCGACATTTATTAGAATCGTCTCGATTCTTGATGACAGACCTGAGTGGCCGCCATGATGTTTTTGCCAATAACTAGTTTGAAAGCGCCATGGCAAGTGGCATTACGCATGTGTGAATCCAGGCATGCGCGAGTTCATCTCCGGATCCCCAACTGCCCTCAGAGGGCTTGGCTCCCTCGTAACGCCTTCTTTGTTCTTTCTTTCTTTTTGTCTTTTTTTTATTTTATTTTTGTTCCCCTCGACATGTGTACAAATACCAATTAACTTTGATGACAGAAAATACCAGACGGTCTATGAAGATGAAATATGGCCAAACTCTATGCATAGCCACAACAGAGAGTCTTATAAGAAAAGATACTATTACTGTGGAGGCTGTGTATTACCGGACACGGTTTTCTTTTCATAATCTCTTTATTTTATACTATTTGTTCTCCAATTCCAAGGCTTAAGAGCCACTCAAGATACAGATTTACAGAATAAGGTATTTGTGCGTCCCGTATAGAGAAAAATTTAAAAGTACTTATTATGAAAAATAGGATAATTAATGGATAGTCCTCGACTTGATGCGACGTAGTGATCGGAAAAGCTTCATCTCGGGAGGTTGTTCCACAAATTAACAACTCTAAGGAAGAATATGAGTGAAACTTCCTCCTTACAAATGGAATACAAATAGAATAAAGAGAAGTCGTCCATGTGTATGTGGTGTGGTACGTTCTAGTTGAAAACATCTGAACTAAAAAATAGAAGTAGATTAGCGAAATGCGTGCAATGTTTGGTCTGTAGAAAAAGGTTTGTCTGTTGGGAAATAATTCATTACCGACAAGGCCTTGGAAACGATTTTGAACTCAGGGCCGGGGAGTTAGGATTGGGCAGCCCCAACCCAGATATCTAAGCAATAACTCTATATTTTGTCAGACCTATATCGTTTAATGTGAAGAGAAGCCTGCTTATACTGAGAATTTCATCCAACACAACGTTAGGAGACCATGGATCAAGGATTAAACCTGAACACTACAAGCCATATTCGTAGGAATTATGAATTACGAACCGACAGTTAAGGTTCTCAGCTAGGACCCGCTATACTTCGTAAACCTCTGTCATGAGAGGCTCTTGAACATTTGCATCTTAATTCATGGACAAAGGAAGGGGTATATTCTAGCTTTGGGATATATTCTAGCATAGCACATTTTATACCCGAGAGTATAAAATGAGTTAGATTAATTTATACCCTGGGCATAAAAAAGAGGATCTTAAAAAAATTACATTATACAATGGATTGCGGGATTCTCTGGACTGTTAGATTATAAAATACAAACAAATACTTGAATACATTATTTACATTATTCGGACTATTGTCATCATCTTTGTCGCCATATTTATTACAACGTTTCGCCGTTGTACGTTCCGGCCTTCTTCAGGTGGTTGGAATGTCGAACTGAACCCTTTATTTCGCTCACTGGGGTAGACTGTTCTAGTTCCACGTACCCTGTTTAATTGCAATATGAGCACTGGTAAAAAAGGTTGCTGAGACATTAGGTTTATAATACCCAGAAATTCATAAACAGATGTCTTCAAGGACACATGTCACAGTGGATAAAGGCGTTGGTTAGTGACAGGACCCAAAGAGTCATGGCACGTAGAACTAGAACAGTTTACCCCATAAAACGAAACGTTGTAATGTACATAATACCTCATCTCAGAAATATAGACAGATACTGAATTACTTGAATGTTCAATTTTAAACAGACAGGGGTCCCCACCACTTACCAGACAGGCGCAATACAATTTTCTTTTCCCGAATTTTTCGAATTTTTTATTGCATCATGACAAGCAGTTATTTTCTATACTCTTCCTATACTCTTCCTTTGAAGAAAATTGTATTCGAATTTCACGCCCAGGATTCTTATTTATGAGCAATACGGCCACGGAATTTTATGACCAGATAAGATCCAAAAATATCTGTCTATATCTCTGAGATGAGGTATTATGATTACTTGCATTATTTACATTATTCGGATAATAATGATAATTGCCATATTCACAACATTTCAGCCATTCTTCAGCACTCAAGAACACATAGCCCAGTGGATAAAGACGTTCGTTAGATCCAGTGATTTGACTCAAAGAATTGTGAGTGAACCAAAAACTTGGATAGTTGAGTTAAAGGGAAATACCTGAGGCATCCAAAAGAGGCATGGCAAGTGAAACTAGAACAATTTACCCTGGTGGACGAAATAAAGGGTTCGATTCAAAATTCCAATCACCTGAAGAAGGCCGGAGCGTACAAAGGCCGAAAAGTTGTGAATATGGCAATGAAGATGAGGAGAACAGTCCAAATAGTGTAAATAATGCAAGGAATCATAAAACCTCATCTCAGAGATATAGAGGCCAGAGCGTTGTGAATATGGCATTGAAGATGAGGATAACAGTCCGAATAATGTAAATAATGCAATTATTCATAATAGATAATCTCAGAGATATAGAGGCCGAAACTTTGTGAATATGTCAATGAAGATGAGGATAACAGTCCGAATAATGTAAATAATGCAATTATTCATAATACATCATCCCAGAGATATAGAGGCCGAAACGTAGTGAATATGTCAATGAAGGTGGGGATAACAGTCTGAATAATGTAAATAATGCAATTATTCAAAATACATAATCTCAGCGATATAGAGGCCGAAACGTTGTGAATATGGCAATGAAGATGAGGATAACAGTCTGAATAATGTAATTAATGCAAGATCCAAACATGCAATAATATTCTTCTTGTTTTTCTAGTAAAAAATATTCTTATTATATTTTTTTCTTTAAATATTCGTTTAAATTATTTCAGCGATTGTATAGGATAACGCATGATTCTCAAGAAAATTTCGAGGAATAAATATGTTCAGTGGGTTTATCCCGTACTCTTTGAACCCTGACAAGAATAAATGACAGCTATTTTGGGGCTGAGAGTCATGGCGTCTAAGTTTTCATAAACGAGATCTCGTCGAACACACCAAGTAAAAAAAAAAAAAAAAAAAAAAAAAAAAATATCTATTCAAGGGGAGCGTATATCATTTAAAAAATTTAATGATAAATATATAATGATAGATATAAATATAAATATATAAATATAATATATAATGATAAATATAAATATATAGTGATAAAATTTATCATTTAAAAAATTTAATGATAAATATATAATGATAAATATAAAATAAAATAATATATAAATATAAATATATAGTGATAGAAAATTTATCACTTAAAACCTTTAATGATAAATATATAATGATAAATATAAATATAAATAAAAATATGATATATAATGATAAATATAAATATAATATATAAATATAAATATATAGTGATAGAAAATTTATCATTTAAAACCTTTAATGATAAATATATAAATATAAATATAAATATAAATATGATATATAATGATAAATATAAATATATAGGGAAAAAAAAAAAATTTAAAATTTAAATGATAAATATATAATGATAAATATAAATATAAATATGATATATAATGATAAATATAAATATAAATATAATATATTAATATAAATATATAGTGATAAAAAATTTATCATTTAAAACCTTTAATGATAAATATATAATGATAAATATAAATATAAATATAAATATAAATATGATATATAATGATAAATATAAATATAAATATAAATATGATATATAATGATAAATATAAATATATAGTAATAAAAAAATTCATCATTTAAAAAATACTGGAAAATCTATTGTTTAATTATTTCTTGACGAGCAAAACTTAACGCTCTCCGTCCGATATTTCGTAAGATCAGCATTCAGTTGACAAATAAGAAAGGATGGTTAAATGAAGGTTCTCTGAAAATGGAATTAGCCGCATTAAAAAATATGAACAGGAGAAACGTTTGGACGAATATGCAGCGCCAAGTTTGATAATTTGCAAGTTCCTTATTCTTCTTGGGCGTTTAGTTGATAGTCTTAGGAAACTGTCTCAATAAGTTGGTATAGTACTCTCCATCGATGGAGGGGTGGCCTTTGTGAAGATAACCAATAATCACAATGACATTTTGTATCCCGCAAAACCTTACACCATGCAGTTGAAACGATCTTGGCTTTCTTTGAAGTAGGT